TTCTGTGATATCCGTGGTAATAATTTTACAGTATCCCCTTTTGCAAACTGTCTAATTGGTTAGTTGGGGGTTCGAATCATAAGGAGTAATTAGGAATCACTATTGATCCTGGAGAATTAAGGGGGGGAAAAAGAATAAAAGAAGGATTTAAGTTATATACAATGACAGTGTAAACCTTTTTTACACACTCAGTGTTGTTTGACAGGTTACGTACCATTTTTAACCGGTTACGAGTTGATGCTTATGATAATGATTTAGTTGTATAAAGATTTTTTACGGTGCCCGTTCATAAAACTTAAAACTCAAAAAACATAACTTTGTGTGTCCATATTCATCCGTTGACTCATGGTTTCTGCTTTTGAAAACTGTCTTAGCTAACTTGAATTGTTTCATGATGATCATTTGCCATCATCTGTTTGTTGCTACTTCAGTATAACTTTTTAATTTTCAGCGGGAATATCACCTCTTACTCGAATTTGGCTATATCCTTCGTCCTCGGAAGTAACTTGGCGTTGTGATGTACTACTTGTTTGCTAGAAATTATTGTTTAGCGAAGGATGATTGAAAGAGTTACAGGATTTCCTGCCTAGCCTTTGGACTGTTTTACTATCCATGCCCTATCTTGTGTTAAACTAGTTCCTATGGGGTACTCACATGATTGGTCATAGAGAAGTTATTGATTAGAAGCTATGAGTATGTGATTATAGCTGGGATGATCAGAGAGTGACCAAAGGAAGTAGCAAGTATGACCAATCATCAGATATTCAACACAAAAAGAGAAGCACGTTCAGATCCAGCCTCCTCCCTTTTATTTTATTTCTGCATAATGATCAGTTAGAATTAATAGGTTAGCGCATTCTTTCATTTCTGTATCTATAGTTCTTCTCTTTTGGAGATTTCATTTTTCTTTACAATTTCTTCAGTTTTTTTCTTTTTAAGGGTAAGTAGTTTTTCAGTTTTCTTCTCTGCCATTCCTGGATTTTCTCTTGGCTCCATTTGAGGAGTCCCATTTTTTATGATTTGTAGTAGTGTTTAAAAGAAACTTGGTTTGTAGCGTGAGATTGTGAATACACCTTTCTTTAGCTCTTCCCATTTCTTTTTGGCTTGTCTTAAGACTTTCAACTTTCTTTTTCCACTTGCTTTTGTCTTGGTTGGTTGGGGAGGGAGGAGTCTATGGGGGTTGGCTTTTGGATTTCAACAGTAAATTTTAACTAATTTTGTTGTTTCATCACAGTCTCCTCTAGATTCCCGCATATCTTTCACTCTTGAACCATTGAGCTAAAAACATCTCTTTTGCAGGTGAAAATGAGAGTAAGAATATCCTTGATGCATTCTTCTTAGGAAAAGCTCTGGCAGAAGCAGTTACTGAGCGCATAGAGTCTACAGTTGGGGAGTTCCTAAGTACAGTTGGCAGATTGCAAGCAGAGCAACAAAAGCAAATTCAGGACTTTCAGGTATTGAGTAGTTCAAGTAGGAAACCTAGAAGCTATAAGTTAACATGAATATTATGAGAGATTGGTTTTAGTTTTCTTCAGGAGGCCCTTATTCAATGACATTTAATAGTGGCATATGGCTTCACCAACAGTATCAAGGAAACTTGTTAAAAATTAGATAAAGCTGAAATTTAGCATAACCTGCAAAGAGAGCCCAATGTTTCCTTTTGGTCTACACATAATTAGGTTTTTAAAGATATTTTTACTAAAGTTATGTGTCATAACGACTACCTTCCAATTCTTCAGAAAAGTTCTAGCTTTTTCCCGTAATCCAAACAACCAGAGGACTTGATAGGAGAGGGTTCAAAAAAATTTATGTTCCTGCTTGTTATTCAGACATATCTTGTTGAAGAAGCAGCGTATTTTCTTGGTCTTCCCTGTTAATTTTGGGACTGCTGCAGCTTATGGGCAACGTATACGATTTGATGCTTCACTTCCATTTCTATGCTGTTGAACAACTCCAAACCTGTATGAGTGTATTCTCCTTCCGTTTTCTCCATTAGAACACATTTTTTATTTACTTAATTATGTTTTCAACACGCCTCCTCATGTGCGGCCTTTTTTATGGGATAAGTACGTGAAAATTATTTTCTAATAATGTTGATGGTGAGACTCGAACCCAGGAGTTCTGCTTGCTCTCATGCCATGTTGAAATGTGTGACCATCTCATCTAAAAACTTAAGCTGTTAGAGAGTGTGCACTTCTTTTATTTAGTTAACTATGTCTTCAACTGATATAATTAAACCTCAATTAACTGAAGTCCCAGATGAAGGTAAAATATATCGTGAACGCTTTTATATATTTTTACCGGGAGAAGCTTGCTAGAACCACTTGAGTTTGTATGCAATTGAGCTCCCCTGAGATTATGAATTGCAGAACCAATTTCTTGTCTCTTGAGAAGCCATGACTCCCTTATACAGTACAGGAAAATATTATACACAGGCTAAGCATGATCACTATGAAAATTCTTTTCTGGTTGTCTAGAGTTGTTCCATCCAGAACAAATAGTGGATGAAGTTTATGCACAACTTTAGTAGAAATGTCTAACCTTAAAAGGTTTGTGCAAAACAGGAGGAGGTTCTTGAAAGAGCAAAACAAGCCAAAGAGAAAGCAGCACGTGAAACAATGGATACACAGGGACTTATTCCCAACTCGTTTGCAGCAGATACATCGACAGTTGGTACTAGTGTTAATTCAGCAACTAGTCCACAAACAAGCATAAATTCCCAACCTGCCAAGATTGATTCAGAAGATGGAAGCAAGGACTCTAAGCTAGGGCTGTCAAACGGAGACTGATGTTTCTGTTTATCATCGTGATGTAATCTTGTTATAGCTACACCCTAGCTTAGATTATATATTCAATGAAACAATATGATACACACTCAATATAATTCCTTTTCCTTCTCATTATCTTTTCTGGTCACAAGTGATAACTTTGCTTAGGAACAAGAACAAAATGCAATTAGCAAAAATGCCTCTCCCGTGATATATAATTGCCTCAATTTAGCAACTTAAATGAAGATGGTCTCTGGTATCAAAATTTTTACAGGACAAACTAATTTAAAAACCACAAAAATAGATTTTAAAGATGGTCCTATAAGGGTTCATTCACTATCCAAGTCAACCCCGGACGGTAGCTCAAATCTGTTGGAGTATAGGATTGTTTGGGAAGGCTATAAGATGGACAGCCACCAATAGGTGGTACTCTTTGTCTAGGGTGAGGTGCTTTTATGTCAGCGATTGAACTTTCCTAGAAAGGATAATATTGATAAAAGTGGGCAGGCGGATTAGACCGATCATAGAGATCACACTACGATAAGGTAGGATGTAATTAGTAATACAAATACTGCGAGTACAATTTGTGTATCCTTTACTCCCTCCGATTTTACATTTTATTTTTGTTCAAAATAAGTGTCCATTTACGTAATCAAGAAGTAATTAATTTTTTTTCCAAAATTTGCTCTTATTTACATATTCCAATGTGTCAATGTAACAATTAATTAAAGTTAATTTAATAAATATTTTTTTTTTATCTAGGAGTTCGTATTTTTTTAATTGGTGTGCCAAAACTTTCTTTTCTCCAAATTACTTTGTTTTGATCGAGGCCAAAATAGTGTGTTTCTCAAAGTAACGACGATGTCGACTTCTTCTTCGTGGTGTATATGTATTTGATGTCCGAGAAAGTCATGTAGAACTAGTTGAGGTAAATATTTTGTGCATTTTCTGACTAGAAAAATCCTTTAGAAGAAATGATAGAATTTAAGGGTCCACCAAACTATATAGAGAACCATGTTCTCTATTAGTTCCCACAGAACACACGCACACTGCAGTAGGTAAATGGCACAAAGAAGTTTTACGTGGAAAACTCTCAGCTCACGGGATTAAAAACCACGACCTACCCCTTGTAGGATTTCAACTTCACTACTGAGCAAACTTTAGATTACAACGTATTGTAACCTAGGAATTAACCTCTTAATCCCTCACTAACTTGTAACAACTCTATTGCAAGCTACTTTGTAATAACTCTATTACAAAGACTTACAACTCGATTAACTCTAGCCAAGACACAAACACAAGGGTTTATAATTTACAAAGGTTTCCTACACAATGCTTCTAACTAAGCTAAGTAGAAATTACAAGTGAAGAACTTTAACAAAGATGCAACACAACTAAGGACATGTAATAACTCAATACAGGGAACTGGTCCGTTGCTATGTTGTTCTTTGTTCTTGATGCTCTTGAGAATCGCTTGCCAGATTGATTGGTCACTTGAGAGAGTACTTGATCGATTCTGCAAAAGTTCAAGTGAAGTTTTTGTCTTTGGTTTAATGTTAATATAACATTGATGACATCACTTGAATGATGCAAGCATGGATGGTACAGGATCATTCCCAATAAAGTTGACTGCTGCACTGTTTCGCACTGTTGCGTGTGCAGGCAACAATTTTATAGCTATCGGAGAGTTGACTAGAACGATCACCAGGAGAACTAATGTCCACCTGTTCCCCTTGTTGATTCTTTGATTCCTGAAATGTTGATTTACAATTCCAGCTTAAGTCTTGTTTCCACATATTTGTGAATGTGTATCAAGTTCATTATCTGATTCTTGTCATTAAGTTTGTTACATCATCAAAACATAACAAGGTACATTTAGCCTATCAAGAAACAATATGGACTTTCCACAAAAAACATCGAAAAAGAAATAAATTGCATTGTGATTTTGGAAATATCTATAATGGTCAAAGAAGGGTGAGTTTGAGAGAGTTGAAACTTTATGAAAGATAAGGCATCTACTTAACTCAACGTAGTTTATTATCAAGGGTCAAGGAGTGCGGTAAGATGATTAGAGTTTCTGTATTTACCCAGAAATTTCAAAGGAGGACCTTTTCATAAGGAGTGTTTTATCCAATTTAGTTGGTTTTATGGAGTCAATAGCAAGTGTTTGAACCAACAATGAAAGGAGTGTTTTATCCAATTTAGTTGGTTTTATGGAGTCAATAGCAAGTGTTTGAACCAACAATGAAAAGTAGAGCAATTCATTTCCCCAAACTTTGTCCAAAGATCTCATTTACATCACAATTTACACATATCATACCTCTTAGTTTATTTATTTTCACCTAACTTGAATGACTAAACATATTTCAAATCCTACCTAAATCATGAAAATCATCAACAAGCCAATTGATCTTTGAAAGTAGAGATCTCCTCAAATATTGGTAGTCTTCTTGATTTTGAAGGGGCCCATGCATTTATTAGCTGCTCAAGCCCATTAACAAAATCATCATCCAAATTTAGGCCCGGAAGGTTTTGCAAGAATGGTGGAGGTTGCCTCGAGTCCAATTCCAACACCAATTCCTCCACTCGGTTCTTTGTCTTTGGATCATAAGAACCTGCATAATTGGCTCTCCAAACATCTTCAAGAATATTGCGGGCCTCATCATACCGGGCTTGCTTGATTAGGCAATGGGCCAGATTACAGGCCTTATTGCTGTCTGCATCAATCATTTGGGCTTTCTTATATATAACTTCCGCTGCCATAAAATTCCCTTTTTGCATATATGCCCACCCCAAATTTCCCTGTAAGAGTCAAAAGGGTTTGTATTACAGCCTGTGAAATTGTATTTTTAGTACGAGAATTCTTTACACTAGTGCATAAAACTTTGGGTTTTCTTTATGTTTGAACATTCTATTATGGAGTACTATTTTAAAGTTGGATTTAACTTTTATATATTTACAGTGCAATTTTTATTTATTTATTTAACTTGTTATAGTGACTAACTTGTCTTATTTTTCAAGTGACCAATTTCACTTTTATGGACCATTAGCTATAGCTATCTTTTAAATGCTTTGATAATCTAAAATTTCTTCTTACACTATCAATTAAACTCTTTTACCTATGTGTATGCATGCTTTGACATTTAAGTTAGGGGAATATTTTAGATTAAAGAAATAGTAAAAGGTGGTAGTATAATTACCAGAACTCTGGCTGTCTCTTGCCTGACAGAAACTTGAAACTTCTTTCCATGAGAGCGAGCAGTTTTTGTAGGTTTACCATTGAAGACTTGCCCTTGGTATATCTGTCTCAACTTCTGTTTCAACAGTGCAATTTGTTCATCTACTTTTCCAGATTTCTACATACACATGAAAAGTATATTACACAATTAGTCCATATAATAGCTGGCATGTATAATACGCCTTTGGTGACTGCTAGAACATCTCATGTCTATGAAAAAGTACGTACTCCAATCTTGTATATCAATTATTGTCACTGTATATGGTTAAAACCGATCCTCGGTCATGAAGATCGATCGAGGATGGCATTTCAATCAAGGGGTATCTTCATGGAGACCCCGAACGAATTCCGAGATGGGGGCGTCGAGCTCGGGGCGTTCGAATCGACCGATACAGGTCCCGAACATCGATGCCCGAAAGTGATCACCTAGCTTGAAACCAAGGCCGAGGTTCCGATCCGATACCGAGCTCGAGTCGGTATCGAGTTCACAGACAAAAAGCTGTTATAACTGCACCAAAGGAGAGAATCTCTGCGGAAATTAAGGAGGAGACACACCATCATGGGTCCTCCACTAGTAATATTATTCCATCATGTTGCTATAGATAAAGTAGTGATCCTTGGCTATAAAAGGCAAGATAGATTGTAATAGAAGACATCTTGGCTGGGATTAAGAATTCATTGTATTTATCTTTCTAAAGCTCACTAAATATCTTTGTTCATCATCT